AGAGGAGAGGGAGGAGAGGAGAGAGAGAGGAGGAGAGAGAGAGAGAGAGAGAGAGAGAGAGAGAGAGAGAGAGAAGAGAGAGAAAGAGAAAGAGAAGAGAAAGAGAGAGAAAGAGAAAGAGAGAGAAAGAGAAGAGAGAGAGAGAAGAGAGAGAGAGAGAGAGAGAGAGAGAGAGAGAGAGAGAGAGAGAGAGAGAGAGAGAGAGAGAGAGAGAGAGAGAGAGAGAGAGAGAGAGAGAGACTGAGAGAGAGAGAGGGGGGGGGGGGGTAGGTCTCCCTTGGTTACCTAAACAACAAAGCGCCGCATCAAGAGGACTGCCGGGTCGCCATTCACTCCATTTACGTGAGGCGGAATGAGAGAGTAAGGAACCAAATGCATGCGTGTGTGCGTGCGTGCGTGCGAAGGGAACTTGAGTGTGAGTGTGAGTATGAAAAAGAGAGGAGAGAGAGAAGAGAGAGGAAAGAGAGGAGAGGAGAGAAGAGGAGAGAAGAGAGTGAGAGGGTGAAGGTCTGGTTGAGAGTGAGCGTGAGTATGAGGGTGTGAAAGTACTGTATACTGTATAATCACCAGTGCTAATAGATGCATGCACTTATTAACATTATCACAGGTATGCACGTCGCAGAGACTACAGGTTTCCCCAAAAGCTGACCTTTATTAATTTATAATTAACTCATTTTTCTTGCCTTTCACACCTCAGACAAGCCACCGCCCATAAACACCGACTAGACTTTAAAGTTCAAATATCAAAATACTTTTAAAATGGGTCATAAGCTACCTCCCCCCCCCCCCCCCCGCCCCCGAAATCCCCATGCCACATCCGGGACACGTGTCACTGACCATCAGCACTTCACACGCCCCTCCTACCGCCCACCCCCGAACCCTACCCCACACCCACACCCAACCCACACCCCTCTCCTACCTCCTCCCTCCCCACCGCCCGACCTCAAACAGGTGTTCATTTACACCTGCGAAGCCCGGCACTACGCTCTTATCCGGATGACGTCACGATAGGTAGGAATGACAGAAAAAACTAGGCCAATGACCTTGCAGAAGCCAAAACAGTGGTATGAGTTCTTAAAAAAAAGGCCAATCAGCGGGTCAACCAAACAAACCATAAAGCTGTAGTAATAAAGAACCACACAAAATGACCGTAAAAAAAGTGTAAACACACACACTCGATGTCGTTTGCGTCAAAATAGCATTACCACGATTTCAACCTCATCTCTAACCCGCCTCCCACCCTCCCTCCCCTTCCCCTGTAGGCCTTGCCTTCTCCCACCCCAAAGCAACCCCTATCGGCCCACCCCACCACCACCCGTCTACCCCCTCTCCCCCTCTTCCCTCCACTACCCCATACTACCCTTAAACCCCCTCCCAACTACCCCAACCTCCCCACCCCCTTACCACCCCACACCAACCTCCCTGCCCTTTGCCAACCCACCCCCTACCAGAGCACCCCAACCTCCCTTTCCCCAACAACCCCCTTCCACCCCGCACCCATAACCCTCCTACCTCCCCTTCCCCAACAACCTCTTCCCTCCTCTTCCCTTATAACCCACTTCCACCTCTTCTCTTACAAACCCTTTCCACCTCTTCCCCTTCCACCTCGTCGTCTTCCACCCGTTCCTACCCACCCCCTTCCACTTCCTTCCCTTCCACCTCGTCGTCTTCCACCTCCTTCCCTTCCACCTCTCCGCCTTCCACCCCTTCCCCTTCCTACCCATCTTCTTCCACCCCTTCCTACCCTTCCCCTCCCCTCCTCCCTCCCCCCCATCCCACGGGACAAAATAAGGAAGCCCCCCCCCCCCCCCGCGGCGGCTTCACCTCTCCAAGGAAGTGACTTTCTTGCGGCGAATCAAAACACTCGCCGGCCACGCGAGGCTTTTGTCGCCATTGTCGTCACTGCGTTTCCCCTTTTTTCTTCTTATCTTTTTCTCCTTTCTTCTTCTTCTTCTTCTTCTTCTTCTTCTTCTTCTTCTTCTTCTTCTTCTCCTCCTTCTTCACAAATAAAAGCGTCATTACTATCAATCACCAATATCATCATCGTTATTATCACTTCATAATAATACTGGTGTTGCTATCGTCATTATAACACCCTCACAGGTTGTCACTAAAGCATAAAAAAAAACGAAAATAAAACTCGTCTTTCGCCCTGACTCACAAGACAGGTGTGCGAAGCAGTCCAAGAGGCTGTGCAGGTGTGTGCAGGTGGATGACCTGTGAGTAACTCAGCGTGTACGTGTGTGTGTGCGTGGGTGCGTGCGTGTGTGTGTGTGTGTGTGTGTGTGTGTTTGTGTGTGTGTGTGTGTGTGTGTGTGTGTATGTGTGTGTGTGTGTGTGTGTGTGTGTGTGTGTGTGTGTGTGTGTGTGTGTGTGTGTGTGTGTGTGTGCGCGTGCGCGTGTGCGTGTGCGTGTGCGTGTGCGTGTGCGTGTGCGTGTGCGTGTGCGCGTGCGTGTGCGTGTGCGTGTCCGTATACATGTATGTGTAAATATTGTGTTTATGTAGGCATGAGTTTAACTTGTGTGTATGAGCGTGCGGAAACACTTACACGAACGTCCAATAATCACAGACGAAAACGTAGGATATAATCACGGTGAATTAGGTAATGAAGGAAAAAAAGGCATTACCGAACAAAGAATCCCTAAACTACACAAAGGAATAAAACAAATTAAAGACAATAACAAGAAAGAGAAAGAAAACCCACCTAATCCGCGCACCGCTCACAACAAATGAACAAACAGTAAACAATAACGCAAGAACCCCCCCACCTCACCCCTACCCCACCCTCGTCCCCCTCCACATCAGTCCCTCATTCTAAAAAACTTCAATAATTACGGACATACATTCTTACGCATCACGCAAACACGTACCCTCTTCCGTACGGGCTCTTACGCAACACCGAAGCTCCTTCCCCTATTTCGGAAGTGAAATGGGCATTTTGCAGCCGAATCGTCGGTTGTGCAACGTGAGGGGGAGTGCAAGTGTTTGCTACTTCCGCTGGAAATTCAGAGGATATTTCTTAATGCAGGAGCGTGCGTACTGGCGTGGTTGATTGACTGTTCCTTGGCAATAAGTTATCCTTTTTATTCATTTCGATATAAGGCACACGCGGATGTAGTAACGAAAACAATAGAATTATTATTGACTATAACTAAAATCATAGTTATAAAACTAATAGTGCCACTAACCATTACTTATCATTACAAACGCGTGTGTATTTACTGTAGTAGTGAAAACAACAGAATCACCAATGACTATCACTGCAATCATAATTATATTACTAATAGTCCTATTACCTTAACCATCACCATCATTATAACAATCACACGAAAAAGGACGCAAGAAAATTCAACAACAACAACAACAGCGATAACAGCAGCGATAACAACAACAACACACAACAACCGCCGCCTTCATCTCTAGACAGAATAATTAACATTTACCACATTACTGCACAATTTTTCCCTCTTGCGACCTGCAAGACTTCACGCGAAACGACACGGCTAACGAGAGACTATAGTTTATAAGGAACGATTTAAAACTAAACAGAAAGGTTATCCCTCCAACCTCGATTAAGAGACACGTAATCAATGTGCGCAATAGCAATGTCCCGGTTGATCAAATTGCAAGATTTAATTCCTGCTTGATCTGTGCTATAACCCGTTTTGCAATAAACGGTGAGCTGTACAAAGCCATTTCCGGTTTCCAGATGTGATAGCCTTATAATGGGACTATTTCCATGATAGTGATGGTGGTGGTGGTGATAATGACAATGATGGTGGTGATGATGACAATGATGATGATGATGGTGGTAATGGTGTGGTGGTGGTGGTGGTGGTGGTGGTGGTGGTGGTGGTGGTGGTGGTGGTGGCGGTGGTAGTGGAGGTGGAGGTGGAGGTGGAGGTGGAGGTGGAGGTGGAGGTGGAGGTGGAGGTGGAGGTGAAGGTGAAGATGGAGGTGGTGGTGATGATGACAATGGTGGTGGTGGTGGTTGTGGTGGGTGATGGTGATAGTGATGATGATATGGTGGTAGTAGTGATTATGATAAGAAGATGATTAAGATGATAATGATGATGGTGACGATGATGAATTTATATACATACACACACATTCGTGTATGTGTGTGATTGTGTGAATGTATACATGTATGTGTGCATATATTATATATATGTACACACACACACACACACACACACACACACACACACACACACACACACACACACACACACACACACACACACACACATATATATATATATACATATATACATATATATACACATATTTCTATATACATACACACAATGTATATATACAATATATATACATATACATACATATATGTATATATACATAAATATATACATATATATGTATATATATGTATATATACATATGCATAATATATATATATATATATATATATATATATATATATATATATATATATATATATATATATATATATATATATTGTGTATGTGTGCTGCATGTGTTTATATGTATGTACGTATGTATGTATGTATACACTTTATACACACACATACATACACACACACACACACACACACACACACACACACACACACACACACACACACACACACACACACACACACACACACACACACACACACACACATTGTGTGCATGTGATATGTGTATATATGTATATATATAATAAATATACATAATATTTATAATCTCTGGTTAACGAGCAGACAGAAGTCCACCACCAGGTGATAAGCAATCCACGTACACACAATGTGTAAAGGCCAACACCTCGCCAACAGATAAAAATCACCAACCAATACCATTTTATTCCCAAAATATCAGAGATAAACGAACAGTATCCATGCATAAATAATACAAAAAAATGCATAAAGGCCAACAATGCAACAATATCAACAAGACTAACAAGTATTCCACATCTTATATCATTTGCTTTACATTTAGGCCGAAATCAGCTCGGCTCACACCTGTCATGATCACTCACCTGGTGTGTTGATAAGCATCCCGTAACTCCCCATGCTTGCCTAGCTTGCACTGAGCACTTGTTTTCTTCGGGTCACAAGAATAGGACGTTCACTTCCCCCTTTTTTCCCCTCTTTTATATAGGTATTTTTTTATTTCTTTTTTTTTTTGTATATCTATCCTCACTTTATCGACTATCCTCAGTGGGATATGCCCTTTCCTTCTCGTTCCAGTATTGCTATTTTTTTCCCCTTATTTTTCCCACCAACAGATACCAAAATCCCGTCTCCGGTGACTGTCGATGTATTTCTCACAGTTGGGTTCACTTCCACAAGCCACAAATCTTACATAATTAAACGCACTGCAAATGGGGGACCGCACAAGGATGGCATCGAGAGGGGGGGCGGAGCGTAAGCGTTGTATGAATTCTCTCCGACAACAGGATGGTAACTGACGAGTGAGGTCGGATCCCCCGTTCATACGCACCGCCCCGCGCATTGCCAAACGTCGCTAGATATGGCAACTATGGGCGAGTTGTA